CTGACAGAACCACAAAGGGACGTCCCTGTGTGGGATTGCCACTCTTCAACCAAATGCCACATCAGTGTTGCAGGTTAAGTCTAGCTACGTGACAAAGAGAAAGGATGGTGCAAATCGAGTGCATTCATATGAGGAGTGAAGTAGTGTGTCTTCACTCTGGGTTGGGAAGCAACTCCTTCAAGTTGAAGGAGTTAAAGTGGCTTTGGGGTTCATGAGTCGGGGAATGAGCGGGAGATTGACAGATGGATTGGTGCAGCGTCTGCAGTAATGAGGATGTTGTAGCTGTCTGCTATGGGAGGAGATGGCATCACTTTCTCTCTTAGCCATCAATTTACTGGGTGATTTATGCCTCCCACCCACGCATGGCCACAAGCTGTTGATAGCAGCCAGAAGGAACTTCCTCAGTAGGGTGTCTGGGTTATTTCTTACAAAGGGTGAAGACCTTTATTTAAAAGGGGCTCAGTAGAACGGTACTTGGGCATCTAGGGTGCCTCCTGCATGAATCCTAGGTTAGGTGTTTCTCGTGCGTGCATCACAGATAGTTCAGGGCTGAAGAAACTGCAGAGGAGCTGGATGAGGTTGACAGATGAGTGGGGAGTCTGGGCATCGGTGCTTACTGTGAACCAAATAAGCATCAGGATGGACGGAGAGAAGTGTCGAGGACAAAAAGAGGGGGGGGGTTAAATGCATCTTGTGCTCTTCTTACATCTTACTTCCTGTCTTGCTTGTCCCTTAGGCAATAATGTAATTGCATCTTGCTGAGAGGAGACAACAACAGTGAATATCACATCTATAAAAAGCCTTTATTTCAAATGTTATATTTAAATTATGAAGAAAAATGTGTAGAAACCAGTCACAATGTTTCTCAATCCATGTTTCAGTCATTACCTGTTTGTGGGCTTGAGTCTACAATATGCATTAAATTGGTGTGCACTTCTCAAATCTAGCATGGAAAAAGTTTTGTCTTCTGACTTTAAACATGATGCATTTTGGACTTTTTCTTTTTGCTGACAGAGTTACCAGAAAAACGGGTTCCCGCAGACCGACCTGCAGAAGTTTCTCCACGAGCCGACAGAGCTGCCTAATATAGAGGAGAGCGATCAGACAGACGTCAGAGTCAGACACTCTGTGCTCTGCTACTGCCAGTGGTATGACTGTTCACAGCAGTGCTGCTTGTTTAATATTTAATCTCTCTTAAACACTCAGCCACACCTGGAACCTGTTCTCTACAAACATCAATGTAACAGAAGAGCTATTGTGTTTTAAATACCTGCTTAGAGTTGTTAGCCAGTGAGATTTAAGATTTTATTACAGTTTGACGGTTGCTTGTTGACTATTAGGGCTATTACTTGGCTTAGCTTGAGAAGAAGATGTAATCTTAAGCTCTTAAATCTTGGCCATCAATCAATATCTAAATCAACTGATGGTCAAAACAACTGTCACTTTTAGTTACTGTTAACATGAATGCTGACGGTCATGCTGGCAAGAGTGAAACATCTCTTGTTCTTGGGAAAGATTCATTGAGTCTTTGGAAAAGAGCTGGCACCAGCATCAAAAGTGAAGTTGATCAGAGAAGTGTCGAGGAAACGCCGTTACATTCTCACTCCCTTTCAGTCCATGTACAAATAAACAGGATTCACGGTAACATCCAGAAATGTCGCCATGATATACGGACGCCGCACTCCTCTGTATGTCGGCGTTTTCTTCTCATTCCATTTCCATGAGCCAACCTCCATCATCGACAGACTGCAGCGGAGTTTCCTCCACGCTGCGGTTTGGCTCCGTCTTACGTGGTTTGAGAGCAATGAAATTAGTGGTGGGAGCTATGCTGACACACCCAGTGATGGGCTGATTACAGAGGAACTGAGGGCCTCCACACTGAGGAACACCCCTGCCCCCACCGTCCCCTTAAACTCCCAGCCGTTCTTACCTCTTCACTGCGTTATGTCGCTGAATGCACAGGTCACAGTAAACATTGATTCAAAATGAGCTGAAAAGGTTCAGCGGTTCGTCGAAACAGTTTTGAATGCATTGGAGAGACTGGTTTAGCGGCTCTGTGCGTGGTTTTATTAGAGCGACCTCACACGGTGTTCTCTCTTTATCATTGACTTAACCTCTTTTTGGTTGTCTGATAACATGAAGTGTTTAACATGCCTGAGAAATGTTTCATTTTATTTCCCGTTATCGTTTAAAACGGCAGCGCACTCCCCCGTTTGCTCCCAGCAGCACTTCCTCCATCACAGTCAGCACATTACTCAATGGTGAAGTTGATGTTTCTGTTCAGGAGAATGTTTGGCTGTAAACAGACACCAGGGTTGGTTTCTGTAGCCATCATCACAATCGTTCCACTTCAAAAGCACCAGACTGTTCTGTGACTGAGTGCATGAGATGTTGTTTACTCAGTAAAGCAACTACTGCAGTCATCTGTATAGAGCTGTGTTTCGC